GAAAAAGAAAGAAGGCTGTCTGTTTTCGACGGCGGGTTATCTTATACCTAAATTTATCTATCCACGATTTACTTTCCTATAATACAGATTTATAGTGAAGTGGAATGATGATCATCGTTTGATGATGAATTCACCTTTGATTTGTAAATTCAACAGTTACAATTGAAAATGTAATTGAGACGAACAGAGAAAAAAAATAATATAGTATGAAAATAAATTAATATGTTATACATACCGTATGCTTCTGGTAACATGTACTTAAACACGTGGTTCTATAGAAATCTAGTTCTTTATCCAATAATTATTTCAACAACGCATTGCATATATATTATTTTATTGCATTTAGGGAAAAAAAAAAAAAAAAAAAAAAAAAAAAAAAAAAAAAAAAAAAAAAAAACATTTAAAGGTCTTTAACTCTAGCACAATGATTGATTGTATGTTTTTTTATGTCCCATGCGAGAAATTTTCACTCAGTAAATTAACTTTAAGGATATATAAATGAAAAGAGTAATAATAAACACTGGTACTTTTTTACAGGGAGGTGTATAAAGTTTCGATATACAATTATCTGAAATATCTTACTAAAAGCAGAAATGGTGTCAGAAAAAAGATTCATACAAACACTGTATCTTTGAGACAGACCTTCCATTCAAAGTAATGATAGTATGACAATAATATTATTATATAATAATAGCTGTGCAAGAAATATTAAAAAACCTCAAATAAAACGCGATGAAAAAAAATTAAAACTAGGAGTGCTCTCTGTAGAATAATTAATTCAAGTTACTGGCATCGATAATGTTATCAGAATCAAATATTTAGTTCAGAACTGATATAGATAAGACTTAAAAGTTTTACTCTCTAAATAAGTTTTCTTTACATTTGTTACTTCACATGCATGTATGAACATGCACATGTATTAACATTTTTAGATATTGACTCAAATTATTTTATGTATATATATATCATAACTTTAATGGTAGAGACCATAGGTAGGTTCCAGAAATTTATATTGTCAAAGTTTATCAACACCGACTAAGATTGTCAGCACTTTTTTAAGATTATCAGCACCAGCAGTAAAAAGGTCAGTAATTGTCTAAGTTTTTCAGTAAAAATGGGAATATCAGTACGTTTCTGACTAAGTAGTGCCTTCACTTATAGTGCCGGGCGCTTGGCGAAGGAACACTCACTACGTATGGTTACGTCATAGCTTTTGAAGCGGCGCAGCGAAAGAGAATCGGCCTCCCGATCACGAAGCGAACACCTTACCACTATGCTACCCTGACCAGTCTTGCACAATGAAAAGTTAGCAATTAAGTTGTTTTTTTTATAAATTGGAATTCATCGTGAGTATTAAAAGGTTTTCCATCCCTAATAGGACCTAATTCTCTATACTTAAATATCCAACACGTACATTTATATAATACTCTGATTAATTCAAAGCATTTTTACAGTAGAAAAGGATTTACCAAGAGAAAGTTTCAAAAATGTTATTAACTAAGCAGTAATTAATTAACAGAAATTGCATTGTAGACTATGGAGACAAGCGATTTTTATTAAATTTAAATTCAAATGATAAGAATATCAATAAATTCTGTGGTGGAAAGATGCACATAATCATTAGAAATAGAATGACAATTGAAAATATTTTTATACCGTATAGATTTTTTAAAATTGATTTTTATTACTTAAAAAAGGGAGATAACTCTTCAACAAAGGTCAAGGTAATAAATTAGAACATGTTCCATTCTTACTTGCTAATAGTAATAAATGGGAATTATGTATAAATATACTAAGTATTCCACCTGTACACATCTGTTTTGTATTCAAATCCATTGAATATGAGACTATAAGGATGGAATACTTTAATGCACGTGATATAAAGAAAATAATGTTTAGCTTTTCATTAAGATTTATTTTTTATTCATATGATAGACATACAATTAAAGTCAAGTCGAGTGTTACACAATTCAAAAGAGAAAGACATCTATACTGAAACTGCTTTATCAATGGTTAAAAGATTTTATTTTACAAAGTGTCAGATCTCTCTCTCCAAAAGATTAAAGAAAAGAACAAGATCAAAACTTCTTGTATCGCAGGTATGTTAAGACATCACTCAGATCATTTTTTTTTTTTTTAGAAATTCACCCTTTTTTTTGCAAAGTTTAACATTGGTAAATCAGAAAAGCTACCAAAAAAAAAAAAAAAAAAAAAAAAAAAAAAAAAAAAAAAAAAAAATCATTTACTATTATAGCCCATTGTATAGACGTCAATGAGTCTTAGGCTAAAAGAAACACTCCACTACGAAAATATGCCTTAATGAAAAGTGAAAAGTTCAACACTACCCCGGCGATAATTCATATCTGTTTGTAAAGATATCTCTGGGTAAAAAAAAAAATGCTGCTAGAATCCTACTCTCCTGTCACAGAAATAATTATTGCATACTTTCCCATGAAACCTTTCCAAATTTTCTTTTTCAATTTGTACTTAAGATCGAAGAATTGTCATCGATTCATGATAACTACACGAATCTTGCATCACTTTACAAGTACTATGGAACACAAGCTTGCAATATCGAGAAAAATGTTTCAAAATATGCGGCGTAGTGTTGAACTTTTACATCTCCTTTGTTAAAGACGGCAGAGAAATGGTTGATCGGGATTTCAAAACACTATCTGGCTTTACTATAAGGAAAAAAAAATGATGAAGATAAATCAGCCTACCTGATTCTTAAAAAAATAATTCCTCATGAATCATACAGGATATTCACTGTATAGTCTTATAAACTCCCATTTCATATATTTGTTTACATGGATTCTCGTCTAGTTTCATTTTCACTTGGCGAAGATTTGATCAAAAGCTATGACGTCATGGGTTAGGTGTTAAACCCTCGTGACAATACTTCTTTAATGATACCATACAAAAAATGTCCAGCTATTAGAAGACCTATTTTTGTATTTTGTATTTTTGTATATGAAGCAGAATGTATTTCAAAAACTTGTACATGAGAATAAGAAAACACTTGCTCTGGCCTTCAACGTGTCATTCAGATATATCGACGACGTTTTATCAATTATAGTTATTTCCATTCATATGTCGACTCGATTTAGCCCAATGAACTTAAAATAAAAGACATCATAGAATCTGACACATCTGACTCATATTTGGATATTTTACTAGAAAAATACATTAATTGTAACCTTAGAACAAAATGTTATAATAAAAGTGATGACTTCAACTTTTCTATCGTCAACTTCCATTACTTATGTAGCAACATATCATTATCACCTGCATATGAGGTTTATGTCTCCCAGTTGATTTGATACGGTCAGCAGGGAATGGCTATTCCTCCATGGAACCTCTGAAGTTTTAGAGTCCGTGTTTGCTCTACTCTCGATTTGTCTTATTTCAATGGACTTTTGATGTTTTAAGTATTCGTTATCTCAATACTTGATTAATTTGTATTATGTTTTGCATGTTTCAATTTATTTTTAGCACTTGAAATGAATCTTTAAATAAAATATTTAAGAAAATGTTATCTGTAAGTTCCCGTCATCTAGCTGACTAGGACGCCATATTGTAGAGACAAGCTAGAATAAATGGGCGTAGCCTTAACATACCCGCGTACTTCTATGTTTATAATCTTCTTGGCAATATTGTTTATCCTCTTCTATCAACTTGTCATGTTCTTCAGTACTAGTGGTAGTGAATTGTCCATTTTGTCAAGAGTTTGTTTTCTACTTTGGATGTTTCTGAAGTATAACAGGACATGGTCGAAGATTCTTCTATTAATGGAAATCTTTGGGGAAAAAATCATTTTAGGTGACTAAGCACATTGTAGCATGTCTTTCCATCAGTCTGTCTGCCTGCCTGTTTATCTGTATCTTCCATTTCTTTTTCGGAATAATAGGCTTTGGACTTAGAACTTAATTTTTAAGGGGAAACAGACAACAAGTGCCGGCGGAGTACTAGTATTGCTTATGCAGAGCAGTGAAACCCTGTTATAGCGAAGTTCAGGGGATCTGTGAATTTACTTTGCTTTTCCGTAATTTCAATATTTAAGTTTTAAGGTCTAAAGAATTCCCTTTAAAACATGTTCGCTAGTTTTAACTTGCACCGGAAACTAAATTATGTCACTTTCTCCGTTATGCATGTTTCCGACCCTTCAATTTTACAAAGAATTATTAAGAATTTTGCCGGGGATACAAAAACCTTTGCTTTATCCGTAGATTCGCCTTAAGTAAAACTTGCCTGATCACGTTGCATGAAACTTGTTTTATACGTAAAAAAATTCGGAATACAATTTATCCCCGTGCTCACTTTTCCTTGTGCTATACTACAATTCTATACAGTGTTCATGTAATGCAAGCGTTCACAATGTCCCAATACAGCCATTTTTCCCAATTAAGAATTGTGCACCTTTAAGAATAAAAAAAAGATTGGGTTAAATGCTATAAGAGCATAATCAAAAAATTTAAAAAAAAAATACAAAGGTCCTCCTATTGTCCTCATTATGTAATGGAATTTTCGGTTTCCTTTCTTGTAGTGGAATAGTATGTAACATAGACGCAATGCCTTGAATGTCAATGCCAAAAATATTAAAGATTATTACAAAACATAATTTGTTACATTACTTTAAACCGTCATAAAAACTAGAAAAGAAAGGTTTATTCTTAAAGTTTTTGACTGATTGATTGATATTTTTAGAAAACTTTTTATGTTTACCTTGTGACAACACCTAGTTGTACACTATTATGTAATACCTATTATGGCATTACAGTTTCAAAAAAAAAAAAAAAAAAAAAAAAAAAAAAAACCGCAGTCCATGATAACATAAGTTTAATGAAAATTACTTTAATGCAACAGATGGCTTCCAAACGTGCAATTGACAATAGAAATAGGTAATTTGGCTCTATTTCTCACCACATTCCAGATATGATAATTCTAGATAGTATTTCGATATAAATAAACTGGTATTAAGATACATATGACTGTGAAGAACTGAAGGAGGGATAGAGAAGTTTGTTTTCAAAATGGTTTCTTTTCGATTGTTCACTGTTGTCTTCACTCTAACATTTTATTTTGACTTCTATCAAGGTGAGTCTCTCTCTCTCTCTCTCTCTCTCTCTGTACGAGCTTTTTGGTGACGTTCGATATGAAGTGAAATAGCTTACATAAAGGAGGTATACTTTGTTTATATTTACAACAAAAAATACGTTTTTTATCTCTAGCCACCCATAAGAGATGTCCTACTGATGTGTGCATGAACAGTAAAATTGATATTAATAAAGAAATGAGGGAAAGAATAAATTTTACATATGGACCAGAGGGAGAGCGAGTTCGCTTCAAACCCGGGCTCTTTAGTTTTGGATGCAGGTTGGTTAAGTTTACAGAAGTTCTATTTTTTTTTTATAACGTAGTTTTCCTATGAATCAATCCTTATTCTTGCATTCTAGTCAATATCAATACTTAATTTTACCTACTGAAATTCAATGCAAAAACACGAATGGAATAAATGAATGAATGATGTTCTGAGCATGCGTGTATTTAATGTTTTATTTTTTATTTAAATAGTTAATATCATAATTGGAAATGCAGTGTTTTCACAGTAGAATGAATTCCACTTTTTCTGATTGTTCGAATATTTTTTCCCTATACTCATAAACGCAGAATAGGGATGGCTTTTATGAAAGTAAAACTGTGAATCAACTCCTTACTTCGCGACTCTAGAGCAGACGCTCTAACCACTGCGCCACGCGGGTGACAAATGATGTATTGAACAAATCTTTAAATACAAAGAAAAACTTTCGAAATTCATTAATGTTCAATGTTTTTCCCTTTTACCATCAACCCTATAAATCTATATTTTTTTTTTACTTTATAGGACACCATTAAGAACCAATGAGTAAAAAATGAAACTTTATGCAGATAAACTTATTGTTTTACCTACATTAATAAACATGTATGAAATGAAAAGAGGTGAAGATAAAGATAAATAATCAATTTTAAAAAATCTACAAATACAAATCTGTAAAGAGTACATAAAACAAGGACCCTCGGAAATTCCTGAAGTGACTTCAGTGTCTAGAAGGAGAACCTGTCACACTCACCGTAAGCCCTATGTTCTGATCATATAGACTAAATTTTCTGTAGTCAAATTTATTATTAAACAAGAGCCTAACAATTGGTATGAAATATGTCAGTCAAATTACGATCAAATAATACGTAAACTTGCTGACAAGGTCATTATAACGAACATAGTTCACGAAATGCTGACTTAAAACAGGTTTATTGAAATCCATAAAAATAATTTAAAAAAAAATAAATATTTTGGATTTCCAACCTTTCGACATGAGCATCACTGAAGAGACATAATTTGTCGAAATGCGCATCTGGTGCATCAATATATATACAGTATATGATTTACGTCCACTTAACATAAACTTTTCTGTCAGTTCAGAGCATGCTCTTGAGTATCAAAGAGGTTAGAAGACGTACACAAGATATGCAGTTTGATTCTATCATTTGTCCTCAGTAGAAACTAGATGCTGTCATGAGACAGTAATACCCGCACTAAGGTGTTTGCCTCTAAATGCACACTCCTTCATATTGGGCTTACCAAGGAAAAAGTCCATATAATTCTATAATTTACACAGTACATGTATTCGTCAAATCGAGCATAAAATGCTCAGGTGACCATGTGACCCATGAACCTCTTATACGAATTTCATATACTTAATTCATTACCAGTCTGAAATATCAGAATTTAATTAATGTTGTAAATTAGGTTTTAATAAAAAGGGGGGGGGGGATATAAATTTTTGGCCCATAATTGGAACTTTTTAAATTAAATTTATCTTCTCAACAACAAATAATATTATTTTAGTACAAAGCGTTTTTGATGAATTTATCAAAATGTGCAAACTTTTTTTAGTATTTGATTAGGCAAAAACCTCCTTGAAAAGCCATACCCAATCAATTTATATGTGTCCCCCCCCCCCCCCCCCAAATACACACACACACAATTTGCCTGTTTTTGGAAATAGGCCTAGATGGCAAAGTTATGTTAAAACATCGTTTGTTATGATAATTTAAAATTTGTTCTTGTACTGTACATGTATGTGAACACCTTTTTGAAAATTTCTACATCACATTGGGCTTGCGTCACCCTACCAGTACTAGTACTAGTTTTACCATTATCATTTTTAGATTGCACATGCCATGTGACATGGTGCAGTGTTACATGTATATCAGTGGAAATTAATTCATTTTGTGTTTTAATTGGATTATATTTCATGAAGTTGACAGGACCTATGACAGTCGGTAAGTACAAGTTTAAGTATAGATTGGGGTAAAATAAACCAAAATGCAAATGGTTAGGTTAAAGTTTAAAAAGGATCAAAGATCATCGGCAATCTCCTATGCAGAGTTGTCGTTCGTTTCTCTCTCAGACACTGAATGTATGAGCCGATCGTAGAGAGTGGATCATCAATGCCACAATAGACGAATTTCACATTCTGAAGAGTTATCTCCCGTTGTCGACATTACATTCAGTTACAGGCATAGATCCGGGAATTTTTTTCCGGGGGGGGGGAGGGGGGTCCACACCTCGGTCCAAAAAAATTCCAGCCCAGAATTTCCTGAGGAGCAAAATAAAAAAAAAAAACAAACAAACAAAATAAAAACAATGATGGTGGGGTCCATGTTTTTAAAGGGGGAGGGCATCCAAAGTCATTTTTTATTTGCTTCTGTAAATCAGTATATAGTCCTATTTAAATAACTCTGCAAATTCCAGGGGGGGGGGGGGGTTCCAATCTCCCTAGCCGCTCCCTGTCCCTGAAATGACAAATGATCATGCGACTCCTAAATAGTAGAAAATTTTTCCATATGACTAGACATAATTTTGTTTCTTGTGTTATTATGTTATGTACATCTAATGGTTTAAGGTTATGAACCCCTGAGGTCATCCCCACTCTCTTGTTCATAATATGACTACATCAAATTAAATAGAAGTGCATCAATGATAAGATTACTTGACATTTCATTCATGAATTTGGGTCAACCTATAGAATTAGGAATGAAAATCATTCAAAGAGATGGACCATTAAACTATTTGTATGTATTCACATTTTTTTTATGTCAAACCAAAGTATTAGACTAGTTTGCATACATGAACAAACTGGGGTCTGGGAAGCGGAAGGGGCAAGGGGAAGGAGTTATCTCTTTACGTCTTAATTAATTGTTGAAAATTCCTAAAATGAATGTTAACCTTAAATCCGACTTGTACGTCTTCATTATTTTTAAGTGGTGGTGTCTCCGTATGAGTGAAAAATTCCCAAGAGGGACATTTAACAACAAACAAACATTAATGACTTAAAAAACACAATATACATGTACATGTTTATTAGTCAATGGATATACTTCTGATCATATCTCTAGTTTTCCCTTGAATCAGAAATGATGATATAAATATTTTAAGAATGATTAAGAGTTGAAAAGGTTGTGCATTTTAAAATTCACTAAGCTCTGTGGTT